TTATTATTATTATTATTATTATTATTATTATTATTATTATTATTATTATTATTATTATTATTATTATTATTATTGATGGAGGATGATTTGACCCAACCTACTAAGATTATGACACGTGGACCTGACTCAACACGAACAACAGTACAGCAACCTGATTTGACCGCGACCAGGTAACAAGTCTGTAGAACAACTCGCTACGTCATAGCTCTCTGTAGGGGGAGCTCGCTACAATGCGAATTCCAGATCCCCCGAGCTACTGAGAAGGGAATACTCCAAGATTATTTCAGCTCGCGAGTTAGGGAAACCAGCTCGCTCAGCACCTAGGCAGAAGAATTGCCCCAAAGACCAACCTTGATGAGGGTCACCTCGAAGTACCCCTAAGGGCTTGCTATAAGGTAGTTCGTGGCAAGGATGGCCCGCTACGAAGTAACTTGCGACTGTGATGCGACGCTCTCAGGAAGCTTCCATCTGACAAGACCGTACCCGTCAGACTGTGCCACGTCTCTCAATTGACGGTGCAGTCCCTGCCTGATTGACAGTCTGCCCGTCTCTCAACAGATGGTGGTGTGCCTGTCCCTTCGGAAACGTGTCACTCAGCTACACAGGCAATACATTGTAACGATCAACTGCGCAGCCCTGGCAGGTAACGGCTGCGATAGGAGCCCAGTGGCAGTGATGCTGGATTTAACAAGAACGCCCCTATAAAAGCCCTTAAAACGGAGAAACAAGCTCTCCCTCTCTCTCGGATTGAGATCTAAACTTGCACTCTTACTTGATCACGAGCTAATTTTGAGACATAGTGGTCTAGCGCGATCTACACTCTTAGCCTTTTATACTCTCTCTCTCCATCCTCCCCAGCGTTCTAAYTTAAGCTTCGGAGTATTCCCGCCGGGCAAATCCCCGGGAATCCTTCTTCTTCATCTTCTCAGGTGTCGTTCGTTTCCAACAAGGAGCCAGTCAACAGCCAGCTAGGAGTGCCTGGATCGTGCCGCATCATCTGGCGCCGTCTATGGGAAACGCTTCTAAAAGCCTTCCTCCAAGCTTTTACAGCACTTTCTTCCAAAAACTTAGCATTCTTCATGGCTTCTTCCAGCAATGCCAGATGTGGCAACAACCAGAACGCTTCTAAGGAGCAGCCCCAGCTTCCTACTGTCTTCATCGGACAGCTTACTGTCCCCCTCACCATGGACGGAGTCCCTAGTTTGAATGTGCCTCTTACAGTGGCACCCGCCATTGCCTCGTTCCCTTCTACAGTAGGAGCAGCCTCTGCTGAGCCCTCGGTTGTGCCCCCAACGGCCAACCCGAACCAACTGAAGTACTTAGTGCAATGCATGCGGGCCATTCAGGCTCAAATGCAACAGTTCCAATAGTTTCAACTCTACCAACAGCAAGTACTGCACCAGGTTTCCCAGTACCAGTACCAGCAGCAGTTTCCCTCTCTGCCTCAAGCCCAGATGTCGCTTCCCCCTCGGCACCCGGCCACGAAGCAGGCCAGGCCCACCCGCCGGAGTGAGCGGCCTCGCCGGGGAGAAGCCTCCCAGGTCCAGAATCTAGCCAAGAGCCACGCCTCTTCCCATAGCAATAAAGAGAGGTCGGTCGCCCCCTCGGCACCTGCCTCGCAGCCTGTGGGCGGGTCAGGGGCCTCTCACTCAACAAAGCTCATGTCACCACAACCTTCGCAGTTCGAGCTCCCTCTAGCGGACAGCCCGTTCGAGGTCCTAGCAGTGGGCTACAGACAGGGCCCTTCGGTCTAGAGTCGTCACCATCAGTCAGAGCCTATCGAGCTCGGCAACACCGAGGCATCGAGCACCAATGCTGAACCAGCAAAGCAGCAGCGAAGACGCCGACGAGCTCGCCAAACTGCTTCCAAAGCCTCTCCCGAGCTTAAAGGAAAGAAGGAGGTATGCTCAGCTGAAGTAAAAACTACCCCC